CAAATAGGAGTAAAATGTTAATAGGTGAACTTGGGGTAAAGCTTTGGACTGTTTTTATCTTTGCATGTTATCTGTACATTATTTCCAAGTAAAATGTTCAAATAAATGTAAACATATTACATGGCCCAGATATTTTTTGTATAGTTCTAGGAATGCAGTTTTTCCTTAAAAAATACTTTAACCCTTTTCTCCTCATACTTATGTACAAATAGTTTAGGGGTTCTCAGTTACCATATATTGTCACTTTTATGTTTTAAGTTTCAACTATAGGTTGTTTCTTATTTTTTCTAAATAGTTTTGACCTGCTTATATTGAAAGAAGTGGTACAAAAAATGGCAGGAATAGAAATTACCGAGGAAATGACAATGGAGCAACTAGAGGCCATGACTGGTGGGGAGCAACTAAAAGCTGAGGTGAGAGTTGCTATTTTTATTTATTGATTTTTTAAAGTTCAGAATGTATGCATGCTCATATTAAAGAATCCAAATAGTACATAAATACATAAACCAAACATCAGAGCCATACTTATTCTCCTCTCACAACTGTCCCCACCTTCCTTTTAAAAATTGTGATATATTAGTTATTTTAACCTTTAGTTAAATGTTTTTATTTATTAACTAGAAGCCCATTGCACAAAGATTCGTGCAATAGGCCTTCCTTCCCCTGGCTGCCAGCACCGGTTTTCCTCAGGCACCCGGGACCCAGGCTTTTGGTCCGGCCGCAGCAGAGAAGCCAAGCCTCAAGGCTAGGCTAGGGAGGAACTGCTGTACAGTAGTTCTCCCCTCATCTGGGGTTTGGTTTTCTATGTTTCAGTTACCCAAGGTCAACCACAGTCCAAAAATAATAAATTTACCCAGCCATCCACATTGTCATAGCTCCATGATCCAGGATTACCCACAGCAGATGATCCCCCTTCTGACATATATATGGTCAGATGGTCAGTAGGTGCCTAACACTGTCACGATGCCTAGTCATTCACCTCACTTCATTTCATTATGGAGGCATTTTATCATCTCATGTCATCACAAGAAAAAGGGTGAGTACAGTGATATTTCTTTTAAAAATTAGGTTTTTATTGATTTCAGAGAGGAAGGGAGGGGGGAGAGAGAGAGATAGAAACAGCCATGATGAGAGAGAATCATTGATCGGCTGCCTCCTGCACACCCCCTACTGGAGATCCCCCTGCAACCTGGGCTTGTGCCCTTGGCCGAAATCGAACCTGGGACCCTTTAGTCTGTAGGCCGACGCTCTATACATGAGCCAAACCAGCTAGGGCTATTAATTTTTTTAGAGAGAGAGAAGAAGGGAGAGAGAGTGAGAAAGAGAGAGAGAAACATTGATTTGTTGATCCACTTATTTATGCATGCATTGGTTGATCCTTGTATGTGCCCTGACCAGGGATCAAACCCTCAACCTTGGTATCTCTGGACGATGTTCTAACCAACTGAACTACCTGGCCAGGGCATATTTTAACCTTTTTAAAAAGCTGAAACAAAGTAAAGAAAAGGAATATTTTCTTGATTATATGTTCCCCTCAAGCTACCCTGGTGTCTGTAAGGGAAATAAACCACATCTGCAAAGGAAATAAATATCAAATCTTCTGTGGTTCTTGGTATCCTAACAGGCATAAATCTGAACATAGCTACTCTGTTGTTGAATCTGCTCCACACTGAATAAAGAATAATCCTTTATAAGAGACTGCATGGTAGAAAATGGAAAATATGCAGAAGTTTCAAGGCAATTAACAGTTATTTTAAAGTCAGTCACTATAACTAGTAACAGTGTCACTAAAAGAAATTTTCAAAGAAAGGGAAGGTAAATTTATGTTTTCTCTTTTGCAGGGTGGTTATTTTGGCCAGATCAGAAACACTAAAAAATCCTCCCAGAGATTAAAGGATGCACTATTGGACTATGATCTTGCTCTTCCCCTCTGTTTGATTATAGCTCAGCAGAGGAATGGGGTGATCTTTCAAGAAGGTGGAGAGAAACATTTGAAACTTGTGGGAAAGCTCTATGATCAGGCAAGTTAAAGTGGCTTTTTTGTTTATGGTAATTTTTAAAAATCCTGTTAATGGCAAATATAGCATGTTCTATAACTCGAAAAATGTAATTTTGCACATAGGAGTGTGAAACATCTCTAATGTAAAGTATAAAGTAGACATTCTGGAAATGGGCTATATCTGTGCAAATTATGATATTTAATCAGTGGCTCTAGGAGATGTAATAATATGTATAAGGTTTTCAATTAAGTAGATAACTAAGTTGTTTGCTCTCATATCTTCCCTAATCTCTGAAAATTCAATCACAGCAAAGTAGATGTGATCTTTATTTATAAAATATATTTATAAATATTAAGCACCAAATCTATGGTTAGCTTACAAAATGTGTTTAACAATCACTATATTACAAGGAAAAAGGATCATATATAGTTTATAAATGAAGTTTTAATCTTTTAAGGACAAGGGAATTGACTTTTGTCTACATAAAATTGTTGTATGTGATTTAAGTAAATATATTCTGCTACTAAAAGTGATGAACAGTAACTTGGAACTTGAGAACTGGTTGATCTTAAAGCCTTAGATTAGTATACTTTCAGTATGTTGGCGTCTTTTTTGTAATATGATTGTTTGTAGATTGTCTTTATAGTTCTTTCAATTTGTCAAATTTAAATTCTTGTTAATCAAGATATTGTTTAAATGGCACCTTAATCATTTTGGAAAATGTTTATCTTGTTTTTGTAAAATGATAGCACATTTGTGTTTTTTTTGTTTTATTTTTTAAATTTAGTGTCATGATACCCTGGTACAGTTTGGTGGGTTTTTAGCATCTAATCTAAGCACAGAAGATTATATAAAGCGAGTGCCTTCAATTGATGTGCTCTGTAACGAATTTCATACACCCCATGATGCAGCATTTTTCCTGTCTAGGCCAATGTATGCACACCATATTTCAGTAAGTATAAATATCATTGCTGTAATTTATGAACAATTTCAAATAATTTTAACTGTTTCATTTGTAATTGCATTTTACTTTGACATAGATATAGATTGTCTCTTGGAGAGTTACTCTTTTGTTAATACTCATCTCTGAGCAGTATATAATGCAGATGTCCCCTTTAAAAGTAAGTCTTATTAGTTCTATAATTTTACTGTTACTGTGCCACTAGTTATCCAGGTTGATGTCTTATGGGCCCTCTAGAACTATAGCTCTCAAACATTAGTGTAGATGAGACTCACCAACAAAGCATCTTACAAACTGAGTCCCATGTTCCCCAGTTCTAATTTTGTTTTAATCCTCACCCAAGGACATTTTCATTGATTTTTAGAGAGAGGGAGAGGGAGAAAGAGAAACACTGTGTGGTTACCTTCTGCATGTACCCTTACCAGGGCCAGGGGATTAAACCCACAACCTAAATATGTGTCCTCCCTGGAAATTGAATCCGAGCCTTTTTGGTGTATGGAAGGAACAATGCTCCAAACAACTGAGCAACACTGGCCAGGGCCCCCAATTCTAATTTAATAACTTGAATGGTACCTGGATATGTGTTTGTTTTGTGTTTTTATTTATTTTTTTAATATATTTTATTCATTTTTTATGGAGAGGAAGAGAGAGGGATAGAGAGTTAGAAACATCGATGAGAGAGAAACATTGATCAGCCGCCTCCTGTACACTCCCTACTGCGGATGTGCCCGCAACCAAGATACATGCCCTTGACTGGAATCAAACCTGGGACCCTTCAGTCTGCAGGCTGACATTCTATCCACTGAGCCAAACCGGTCAGGGCTCAATAAAAAGTCTTAATCATCCAAACCTACTTTAAAAATACATATAAAACCACATAAATATAAGCAAGTAAATAAGTTGATAATTGAGAAACACTGAATATATTACAAAACATATTGGGTATAGACCATAGAAATGATTATG